ACTGATCTTTTTACTGAATTGCAGGCTTCTCTATATTTATTGTTGTTTTCTGTTGATATATTCTTTGTTAGCTTCGCTAAACGTTTCTCCTCGACAAGCTTTAGTGTTTCTGCGGAAATCCATGGTTTCCTAGATGATTCTATTGTAGGAATAACTGTATTTCCTGTTTCTCGGATAGCATTTAGTATTTCTTTGGAGTGTTCTTCGATACTACTATCTGGTTGAAATATTTTGATTTTTTCTTTTAATAGATCGATGTAGAGTCCTTTGGTAGTAGTATTGTTCAACTGGTTTATGTTTAATCTGCAGTTCTGATTTCTCTTATGGTATATCTTCTTCAGGTGTAATTTGATGTTGCATCATACCAGTGAATGATCTGAACCGATATCTGCACTTTGGAATGTTCTGCAGTTAATTACAGAAGATTTCCATCTTTGTTGAACTAAGATTAAATCGATCAATTTTTATGAACTCCGTCAGGTGACTCCCAAGTCCATTTTCGATCTGCTTTATGCTGGAATCTCGTATTACAGATGAATAATCTGTGCGCTGTTGCAAACTCTAGGAGACGTTCTCCACGATCATTCCTGTCTCCAAAACCGTATCTGCCCATCACAGAATTCCATCCAGTGTTATTGTTGCCAACTTTCGCATTCCAATCGCCAGACATAAGAATAAGATCTTTCTTAGGAACCTTAGCTAGTGTATTCTCGATGCAATTGTAGAACGCCTCGATTTCCTCATCTGAAGATGCAAAAGTTGGTGCGTATACATGGATTGCCGTGATTTTAAATGGAGTTGCATTAAATCTTGCTGTGATAACTCGTGGACTAACTGGATTATATCCAATTAAAGCATTTTTAGCCTTCCCACTTAATAGAAACCCTACTCCATTTTCATGAATATTTTCTTCCCCTGATCATATAAAATCTCCAGTAGCTGTTTCTCCTTTTCCTGCCCATCTGACTTCTGAAACACCAATTATATCGTATCTGAAACGTTTTAGTTCATTTCTAAGTGAATCTAGTTTTCCTGTTTCCCATAGAGTTCTAACATTCCATGTTCCGATTGTTAAGACTTATTTGCTTAATCTCATTCCATTGGTGCTAGTTACGATGTTATTTGTTTTTGGCTTAATGTTGTTTGGAGCTTTTCCAGTAACCAACTTTTCGACTCTGCCCTGGTTACCCGACAGAGGACGCGAACCTTGTTCACCCTGGAGACGTCCGAGCCGGTATGGATTAAGATCATTGACTTTCATCATTTGGTTTCTGCCGTCTTTGAACTTTTTTACAGATAGCGGTATCTGCACCTCTTTCTATCTGACGCTGCTCCTTTTTCCGGACTTGCGACCGGCACAAAAATCGCAGGATTGCGACTCCCATGGTGGAATACCCTGACTAAGGCTTAGGAAAACTTGGCTCGGGTGAACCTAGCTTCGGGCGGCCTTTACTCACCGTATCATCTTGCCGTCGTTGGGTTTCTGTGGCATTTTATAGGTGTTTTGGTGCCACCCAAAACCCCACCACACCCTGTTGGCAAGATGGCTGAATTGTCCGGGACTGCTTATTTGATCAATACCTTGATCTTAATCTGCAGTCACACCTCAGACCCATCTTTCATTGATTATTTTCGTTTTACACTTTAACATGTTTATGAAATCTTTTTTTCATTAATCAAATCTATAGTATATGAAACAAAGATGTTCACCAGTGTTCATCATTATTTATGTCTGTAATGAAAAACGAATCCGTTTTATAATTCTATTCATGTATCATTAGATCCTCTAGCCACTGAAAATCGATGTTTAGCCGAACGTTAAATCTATTTTGGCTTCATCCAAAATTCTTTAACACAAGCAGAAAGAACTGCTCGAATAGAATGAACGAAATTTGAAAAATGATACTCAAGTTTACAATTGCCTTTGAAACCATAAACACATCTTTCTTTGGAAATGTCAAGAAAGATGTCAAATTTTAAGAAAGTAGTGAAGGCAATTTACATATATTTTACATGGATCTTCGGTATTATTTTCGAGTAATTGATTAACATAATCTCTAATATCTTCAATATCCAATTGGAGCTTTGTTCCCAACAAACTACCCTCATCAATAACAGTCAGTGAATGACGCAAATGAGTTATAAAGTAATTCAACATTGATTATTTTCAATCATTAGTGTTAGCATCAGTGATGGATCACACTAACGCTAAACGATGATTAAGATGCGCCTTCTAATCTAATTGGCTTAGGATAACTGCGCGGATAGCAGGAGGTGTGGGTTCGATTTCCACGAACGTCATCTTTTTCATCATTCTGTCACATAACATCACTGACACTGCTTGTCTCTTTCGTTCTATACATATTATTGCTAACAACTAGTAAGGTTATCAGGGTGTGGGTGTGGGTGTGGGTGTGGGGTGTGTGGGTGTCGGTGTGGGCGGATGCTAGTTTTCTCTTCATCAACACTCACACCCATACCCAACACCCACACCCGTATTGAGCTCAAACTATACGAATGCACGTAATGGCTTGGATAAGTTGTACAGCCTAGACTGTGATCATAACTCATCATAATTCAAGTACATATGTATATTCAGAAAGAATAATATTTGAAACGGTTAGGTCTCGTTTCGTCGACAAGTTATTTTTCTTCCATTCCCGTTTCGTCGAAAATGAAAAACGACTGTTCCCGTTTCGTCGAAAAAATAAATTCTGCTTAATCAACGAAAAATAGATTATATCATTTGATGCGATTTTTCGTCATACTAATCAGGAATAGTGCCTAATTACTTATAGATCAGTTTGTCAAAAAAAACTTTATTATAGAGCAGATTTAGATACATAAATAACAGATTATTAGGAGAAAATATGAATGTAGAAAAGAAAACAACCAACACTTTTTTTATTCAGATTAGNAATTTTGGAACAATGAAAAAAGGCATTTCGTAATTATGTTGCTAATAAATGCTGAATACATCAATAGATTGACTTCAAATTTTGTATACGTAGATTGCAGACCATGAACTATTATGTGACAAAAAACCAGACAGTTCTAGCTTATTTAGCGTCTGAGGTATGAACAAAACAAAAAAGTTCATTATGGTGGTTGATCAATTTTGGTACCCACTGTATATATATATATACATAGGTGATTCTAGTATCTATTGTACCGTTCTTTTTGAAAACATGATCGAACAAAAAATAAACTGCTGCATTTAAAATTGTTATCACCGGATAGAGGATACTTCGAAGTATAAAAAAAGTAATTTTTCAAACCACCACTTTTTCCTTTTGTCTGATTTAGAGACCAAAAAGTTTGTATGAACTCAATAAGGGACCTTTTACTCTATTTAACAGCGACTTTCTGAGAAAGTCAGTCACTATGGGACATCGACGGAGGGGTGTCCAAGGACTGAAGTTTGGGAATTCTCCCAATTCCTAAAAGCACCAGCTAAAAGTGGCAAATCCCCCGAGGAACTGAGAACTGACTCTCAAACATCTCACAAAACCTTGTCAGTTCCCCCATCGACTCCTCCTGATGAATAAATATCAGTTGAATATGACGCCAGTTCCCAACCTCGATAACTTCTCATTTCCTCAATTTCTCCCTGTGGAAATCGACCACTAACAATCCCTGAGACAAGAACCCGAGGAAATAACTGCTACTGACCGTCAATACTCATCGGGGGACCTGACACTGCCTTTAGCCATCTTGATTTAAATGCCATAGCAAGGATCCTGACCAGGATAATTGCCAAAAATATTGAAGGACACGCCGGGGAACTGAGGAATTATGACAGTTCTGCTGACAGTTCCTAGGAATTCAGGTAGAAACCTAGAAGGTACCTACCCTCAACTTTTCGGGAAATTGAGGAACTGGTGTAATATACTAGGTTGGAAATAATATTATTCCAGGGGGGTACCTCCATTATTTCAAATAGTGTTACTAATGAATTTTATATCAAATGAAAGCTCGTGAAAAGTGGAGCATTTTGGTACTAAATAGTAAGGGTTATGAAAACTTTCGTGTATTGAATTTGGCAAAAATATCACATTGTACGTATGTCAAGCGTGAAAAAAAATTTCAGGAAAGGAAGTTTGAGCTAAATGTGATACAATATCCTTTTTTGTTCTTGATGAATACAATCAATAATTAGTATGAGAACCGTTAGCACTTTTTACTGCTCGAAGCCGAGATGGATATGAACATAGAAGGGTTTCAAATAACTCGGTATCTGTTTCCATATTTGGCAAAACGTCCGAAGTGCAACTTGAGCGTGTTTTGAAGATATCGATTATGTTCAGTTTCTGACAATATTTTGTTTTCAACTTCGTCTTTGATAATTGTTCCAATATGTTCTGCCAAATTGAGATCAGGTGAATTTCCTGGCCAGATATCGTTACCCCAAAGCTGAATGGCGTTATCATAAAGCAAATGCTGAGTCTTTTTTGCGCGCATGCATGGTGCTTTATCATGAACAAATGTAACTTCATCAACATCAATAACATTTTCTTCATTTTTTAAGAAGGGAATCACATTTTCGGTCAAAATCGTGTCACGAAAGTATTGACCTGTCCAAGATTCTCCTTTATCTTTGATAACCCATAGTAATCTTTTGCAAGTAAAGATAACAAAAATCCCGATACACGCTTGATTTTTTACCATGTCCCAATATCTTTCATCTTCTTCAATGTCTTCAACACTTTTGGCCCAAATTCGATCGTTTTGGTAATTTGGTCTACGAACAACCCACACATAAAATTCACAGGTGGTGCAAGATGAAGAAAATCTTCTTCGGTCGAATCTTTTAACCAATCGAACAACCACAACCGATCTGACATATGAGTTTTTGTTTTCAATGGTTTTGGAATGACATAAAACGGCTTTAATCCTTCTCTCCAACGGTAATTATTTATTGTCCTTGGAGTGACATATTCCTTTTGTTTTTCTGCAATTTCCTTTGCCACAATTGAACAACTCTTTCTTTGTCGGTTACTTCATTGAAGAGTGATGTTTTGGCTTGCTGCAGATAATTTGAGTTTCGGACCAGTATTTGAATAAGCAGCATAGTATTGATCATATGATTTTTCCCACCATTCAGTAACAAATCGAGTCGTGCGATAAATTTTTTTCTCAATCCATTCTCCATTTATAAATGATGCACCAGCATCACGAGCCTCAAGAAAAGCGATGCATCCACTTCGGTCAATAATTCTTTGTTGTTCGGTGTCATAAGCGCCAGCCATTTTCAAATAGTAGATGTAAATTGTTTCACCGAAAGAATATTTTCTTTTTTTCTTTTGAAATATATTGATCAGAAAATGATTTTATATGTTGTTTCACAAACTATTTGGACCCCTCTGTCTTGGAACTTCCCAACCGAGAGAAAACAAAAAATGTCCATGACCAATCGCAGACATGCGAGATAAACAACAGAAAGCAAAGGAAAAATCGAAACTATAAGTCAGAGTCACGTCTTGTTATCACTAGAAGAAAATTCTTTTAATTTCTTTCCGAAAAAGTCCCTGGTTTTCTGTCCAGCAATTTATTAAAATCGGATTACATCGATTTTATTGCACAACTTTTTGGAAATTTCAAGGTTTCAGTATACAAAAGTTTTCATAACCCTTACTATTTGGTACCAAAATACTTCACTTTTCACGGCCTTTCATTTGATATAAAATTAATTAGTAACACTATTTGAAATAATGGTGGTACCCCCCTGAAATAATACTATTTCCAACCTAGTACATTAGACACAATAACTATCGCAGATAGCGAAAAAGGTCAGGGAACTGACGGTAGGTATCTTCTAGGTTTCTACCTGAATTCCTGGGAACTGTCAGCAGAACTGTCATAATTCCTCAGTTCCCCGGCGTGTCCTTCGATATTTTTGGCAATTATCCTGGTCAGGATCCTTGCTATGGCATTTACATCATGATGGCTAAAGGCAGTGTCAGATCCCCCGATGAGTATTGACGGTCAGTAGCAGTTATTTCCTCGGGTTCTTGTCTCAGGGATTGTCAGTGGTCGATTTCCACAGGGAGAAATTGAGGAAATGAGAAGTTATCGAGGTTGGGAACTGGCGTCATATTCAACCGATATTTATTCATCAGGAGGAGTCGATGGGGGAACTGACAAGGTTTTGTGAAATGTTTGAGGGTCAGTTCTCAGTTTCTCGGGGGATTTGCCACTTTTAGCTAGTGTTTTTAGGAATTGGAAGAATTCCCAAACTTCAGTCCTTGGACACTGCTGAGTTTTTCGGGATATCATTTTTCTTATAGCCTCATTTGACACGTTATCTGTCCATTTGATTTTTAATATTCGTCGGTAGCATTTCATTTCAAATGCTAGTCATTTCTTTTTATCACTTTCCTTTAGTGTCCATGTTTCTGATGCATATAATAAAACAGTGAACATAGTTGTAGATAGGATTTTTAGTTTACTTTCTACCTTGATCTTTCTACTACTTATTATATGTTTTAAAGAAGCTAATACTCCTGTTGCCTTGCTAATTCTTCTTTTGATTTCTTCGGCGCAGTTATTATCCCAAGTTAAAAGACTTTCAAGGTATTCGAATTTGTTGACATTTTCTATGACTTCTCCAGATATCTTAATCTCTTGTTTATTGTCGTTCTCCCCGAATACCATTATTTTTGTCTTTTTTAAGTTTATAATTAGTCCAGCGGACTTCGCTAAATTGTTCGTGGTTTCGATTTGCTCTGTAAGACTATTCAAATTTTCGTCGATGAGATCTATATCATCAGCAAATCTTAGGTTATTTATTAGGTGTCCATTGATGTTGACTCCACAAGGTTTTTGTTTTACCTTCTCCATTATTTACTCGAGGTATGCTATAAATAGAAGTGGAGATAATGGATCTCCTTGCCTAGTTCCTACGCTGGTATAGAACCATTCTCCATCTTCCTTATTTATTCTGATGGCTGATTGCGCTTTTCCATAGATTTCTTTTAATAACCTGATTAATATACCATCGACACCATAAGATTTCAATACTGCCCACAAAACTTTATGATTAACAGTGTCAAAAACTTTCTGGAAATCTATGAAGCAATTATAGATTTTTTTACCTTTCCTTTTTGCCCTTTCCGCTATAAGTCCCAATATTAGGATTTGGTGAACAGTAGTTCTATCTTTTCTGAACTCTGTTCTTCAGAAAGATAGGAATTCAATTGATATTGAAGTCTGTTTAGTAGTATTATTAAAAAGATTTTACTAATATAATTAAGGAGGGAAATAGTTCTGTAGTTTGAACATTCTGATGAATCCTCCTTCTTAGGTAATAGAATCAATACTGACTTTCCCCAATCTTCTGGAATCACTTCGCTATGCCATATTTTATCACACAATTTGTGAATTTCATGTGCTAATGACTCCCCACCACTTTGTAATAATTCAGCTTGGATTCCATCTAAACCAGGACTTTTATTCTTTTTTAATGATTGTATGGCTTATTCTACCTCCGAAAATAGGATATCATGAGATTCTTGCTGAATTGGTGGAGAAATTTCTTCTAATTCTTTTATTACTATATCTCCTCCACCATTATCTTTGTATAAGTTACTACAATATTGTGTCTATCTTTTCTTGATCGCTTCTTTAGATTGTAGCAAATTTCCATCATGCCTCCGTAATATATTTAATCGTGGTGTAAAATCTTTCTTTTTTAGTGTTTTTATTAAGCTATACGCTTTCCTGTTGTTACCTACTCTTAGACCTTTATCAATTTCTGTATACTGTTCCTGCAACCATTGTTCTTTATCCTGTCCTACTTATCTCTTTACTGAATTGCAGGCTTATCTATATTTATTGTTGTTTTCTATTGATATATTCTTTGTTACCTTCGCGAAACGTTTCTCCTCGACAAGCTTTAGTGTTTCTGCAGAAATCCATGGTTTCCTAGATGATTTTATTGTAGGAATAACTGTATTTCTTGTTTCTCGGATAGCATTTAGTATTTCTTTGGAGGGTTCTTCGATACTGCTATCTGGTTGAAATTTTTTGATTTTTTTTTAAATAAATCAATGCAGAGTCCTTTGGTGGTAGTATTATTCAGCTGATTTATGTTTAATCTGCAGTTCTGATTTCTCTTATGGTATATCTTCTTCAGGTGTAATTTGATTTTGCATAATACCAGTGAATGATCTGAACCGATGTCTGCACTTTGGAATGTTCTGCAGTTGATTACAGAAGATTTCCATCTTTGCTGAACTAAGATTAAATCGATCATAATCTTATGAACTCCGTCAGGTGATTTCCAAGTCCATTTTCGATCTGCTTATGCTGGAATCTCCTATTACAGATGAATAATCTATGTACTGTTGCAAACTCTAGGAGACGTTCTCCACGATCATTCCTGTCTCCAAAACCGTATCTACCCATCACGGAATTCCACCCAATGTTATCGTTGCCAACTTTCGCATTCCAATCGCCAGACATAAAAATAAGATCTTTCTTAAGAACCTTAGCTAGAGTATTCTCGATGCAATTGTAAAACGCCTCGATTTTCTCATCTGAAGATGCAGAAGTTGGTGCGTATACATGAATTGCCGTGATTTTAAATGGATTTGCATTAAATTTCGCTGTGATTATTCGTGGACTAACTGGATTATATCCAATTAAAGCATTTTTATCCTTCCTACTTAGTAGAAACCCTACTCCGTTTGCATGAATGTTTTCTTCTCCTGACCATATTAAATCTCCAGTAGCTGTTTCTTCTTTTCCTGTCCATCTAATTTCTGAAACACCGATTATATCGTATCTAAAACGTTTTAGT